AGAGAGAGAGAGAGAGAGAGAGAGAGAGGAGAGCAATAGATGTAAATTGTTGCTACTTACAATAAGTCTTCTGTGCATCTGTCCTGAGAGAGACTCCTCCTTCCCCTTCCCAAGAGGGCAGGGCTTCTCGTTGCCAGGGAGGGACATTTCGCGTTCCCACCACATACACCAGCATAACGATCACAAAGTTATGCTCTTCACATCGACACCGCAGAGGTCATAGTTGTGTGCAAGAATATTTCTTCATAGTAGGACTGCCAGAGCTCTGAGCTCACTGCACAGAACTGGAAATCGGCAGTTACAACTACACATGACGCCATGGAAATGCTTTTTCCAGAACTCACTGGCTGAGAAGGGGCGTTCTTCAAGATCCAGTGTCTATGGGTCGAGAAATCCGGAGGGCAAATTTCACAGGTGCCCTTACAAAAATTCGAAACGGTTGACCATCACAGGTCTGTGCGGCAATTGAGTCACATCCACATCATGCTGGTCAGAAGTAGTCAGAGAAGGCTTACACAACTGTTTTTAGTTTTAGTAGTTTAGTAAGAGTTTCAAAGCACTTGCAACACAAGTTCAAGTAAAGTGTCGAAGACTACAGATGTCATGAAAAGAGGGAAGAGAGATAAGAAAGATATAATATTAAATAACATATTTATGTTTGATAGGGGAAAAAGGGAGCAAAGAACACCACACAGAGCACCCGCCAACCAATCAGTAATACAACTGAGAAATCACAAGACCAAGCACACAACTAGCTATTTGACATGGCCCACAGTGTTAGGCTATGAGGACACTCAAAAATGGAACATGTTATCTTATGACGACACACCCTTCTTCCTCATTCCATGTTTGCCATCAATTACAGGTTCCGGACTAGTCAGCTGGACAACGGAAACATTTTTCGGAAAGCAGAATTTAAAGGAATCAAGGTCCACTACTAATAAATCACAGTGCGACAACTTATACGAAGAAACCACCCGTAACAGCTACAGGAAAACCAATACATCATGGACTGAATAATTGCGTGCCTTAAGTCTTTGTCAAGCTCAAACCACACAGATGACCCTCCCTCCCTCCCTCCCTCCCCCTCTCTTTCTCTCTCTCTCCCCAAAATCCCCAACCCAGCGATGACGAAGTCACAACAGCATCAGGGTCAGGATGTTGTGAGTCTGTGAGTGAAACATTCAACTCCGAAACCAATTGATTACACTCACCCACCCCACC